AATTTTAAGTATACGATTTTCCATTGGGCGACAAACATGCAGACAAAATTTCATTCGTGATCTTAAGTGTTGCACAAGCGTGCGCGACAGCTGAATTTGAAATCTTTAGCTCGCACATGCACAAAGAATATTCCTGCAAAGTTTCAGATTTATATCTTGTCTGGTTCGCAAAATCGTTTCCCGCCAAAGAAATATGCATACTTTTTTCGGAGGTTCGTACGTGGAATCTAGACTCGTGCAGGACAAGATCTTAAAAAGGGAGGGTGACACATGGAGTAAGAACATATACCCAAAATTTCAGCCTCCCAGCTATTCCCGATTGCTGAAATGAAAGTGGGTGACAGAGTTCACTCGCTTTTGAACGCATACACACACACTCACAGACAACCTTTCGACAATATGCGTTTTCGCTGACTGTAGGAGCGCTACAGCGCTGCACAGCAAAAACGCATAAGAAGGGAGTTCGAAGACAAACGTAATCTCCGAAGCTTGAGTGAATATATAAGAACAAAAAATAATACAATTTCAATTGGTGGAGAGTTTTTGAACAAACAGATAAAGTTAACGTATAAGTTGAGATTGATGTTAAGATAAAGACACAAATCAAGATTATTATTAAGAGTAAATGGAGGGTGCAGCCCGTAATGGGAGAAACTAGCATAGCTGCGCTTCGCGTGTGGAACCTTCCTACAGATGTAGGAAGACCTCTTAAAGCATCAACAGATGTAGGAAGGTTCCACACGCGAAGCACAGCTATGTCTAAAGGCTGAGGCTAATGAAGGAACAAAAAATCTATTTAAAAAATGCAACTGAATGAAGTTAAATTTTTCAGACCTGTCTAATTCATCAACAGGACCCGTAATTCTGGCATTTTTTAACTTCTGCACTTCTTCTTTACTGCAAACACTGTGATATGCCAATACTTCCAATGCCACTCGATACTTCTAAAGAACACATCATGCTCATTTACAGAGTTACTTCGATCATCCATTGAAAGTGCACTGAATATGGTCAAGGACAAAAATATTCCACATTTTACAAGGAATACCAAGACTGCTGGTTAAACTGCCTGTAGTGATTCGATTCTAGTGTTGCTACTAGTAGGCCAGGCAAAGTTATGTCAGAATCATCAATACTGAGTTGAACATTCGCAAATTAGGATTTAAAAAAAAATTTCTTTTTGTCAGTTAAAACATTATAAAACAATAGATCAAAGTTACAACAGTTTTCAAGTTCAAAAAGTTGAATTTAGTTGTTTTAGGCTGGTGAGGTGAAAATGAATAGTAGTATATTACAAAACTTTTGCAAAATGCTTTTCACAAAACTAAGCCAGAGCTGTATCTGGTTATGTGAGCAATGAGGAGGAATACCTGCTCGGAACGTTTGATCCGGTCATAAAGCTTTGCATGGTGCAATGCCAGTCCACAGTAAACGGCAAATGTTTCGAAAGAATTCTGGTCCTGCCTGGTGAACGCACCATCTGCCTTATTAACCATTTGAACTACACCAATTACCCTAAACAGTCACGTTTGGGACATTATTGTATTTTTATCATCAGGACTGATTTTCAATCCGGAGAAACTGGTCGACTATTATCACAAGAAGATACAAACCAGACCAGCTACAAAAAATACTAGAAAAATACGAAAAAAATCAAGGAAATCCTCTCGCACTCTAAAAAGTGTAAGGCCTCCGTGCACAGCACTGGGGAATTTTACGGATTGTAAAGTGGTGTAAACGACAAACAAAGCTCATGAAGATTCGGGTATTAATGAAAACATGAAATTAACGCTGCAAGAGCACAAGTTCACTGTAATTCCAACTGCTTCTACCACAAAGCCAGTACAAAGCAATCCATTCAGACTGCGTTATGTGGAAATTAAACGGATCAAAATTGCTCTGAAATTCACTCTTCATGAGAGGCGAAGGCACTTTTATACAAGAAGTGCAAGCAGCAGCTTCTTGCTGGCAAATCTGTCACTGATCATCTCTTTCGAAAGTTGATTAGGAGGAAACTGTTAGGAACTTTAAATTCCTAATTTATCTTCAAGGAACATAAAGGAATTGTAAAAAATTAGTTTTTCCATTAGAAGAACTGAACCACAGCATGAACTTGATTTTACTTGCTGCTGAACCATACAGTCCAGAACTGGAGATATAAAACCAAAAGCTTCAGCTTTCCATCAACAAATTCATTACCTTCAGGATTCGTTAGAAATAAAATTTTTGGAATTTCCGATGCTGCTGAAATGTAGTCGAATGCTTAGAGCAGCTATTCTAAGTCCACTTGCCTTGAACTACCCGTTCTTGTCATTTTTTTTTTTTTTGCTTACACCGCCAAACTTTTGTAAGGCAATGCATTACTCGCAGGCGCACGAATTTGCTGCTAGCCACCAAAATAATTGGCTAACGCATGGGGCTGCCCATGCGAAGATGCATTTTTTGCATAGTTCCCTGCAGTTTTTGTCGCTACCGGCACCGGCTTTTCCGGCAAATGCTTCTAGCTAAACAAAATTAAGATTGATCGTCAGAACTGTTGGGAAACACTCCCTTAAAATTTCAGTTTTCTGGCTTTCCTGGCTCCTGAGTTAGCAACTTACTCGAAAAAAACTCAAACCCAGACATCGGGTATGGGTGGCACACCCATACCCGATGTCTGGGTTTGAGCTCATTGGGACTTACGTGGACGAGGAACATCCTCCTAAAATTATAATCTTCTAGCTTTTCAGGTCCTCGAGTTAGCAACTGGCCCGAAAAAAATTTCGGCAGCCCCATGCGTGGGGACCACGCATACCCGAGGGCAGGGTTTGGACTCATCAGTACCTACTTGGGCGGGGAACAGTCCCTTGAAATCTCAGCCTTCTAGCTTTTCAGGTACTCGAGTTAGCAACTTACCCGAAAAAGTTTTGGCGGGCGCGTAGGTAGGTACCACGCGTGCCCGGAGACTGATCTGAAGCTCATTATGACTTACGCAGACAAGGAAAGTTCCCGTAAAATTTCAGCTTTCTAGCTTTCCCGAGTTAGCAACTTACCCGCAAAAAACTTCCACGGGCCCGTAAGTGGGTACCACGCAAACTCAAGAGCTGGGTTTGGACTCACCAATACCTACTTGGACGTAGAACATTCCCTTAAAATTTCAGCCTTCTAGCTTTTCAGGTTCCCGAGTTAACAACTAATCCGGAAAAAATTTTGGCGGAACCGTACGTGGGTACCACGGGGGCAAGAGCGCCCATTCCGGACATAGGGGCCCGTAAACGCATGTAGATTAAGTCCCCAAGTTTCAGCCCCGTAGCTTCTGCGGGTCTTCAGATGAAAAATCGCACACACAGACATACACACACACACAAATAACCTCTTGTCAATATGCGTTTTCTGCATTGCACAGCTGTAAACCCAGGCTGAAACGCACCAGGCGGGCCCGTGCGATCATGCGTTTTTGCACAGGACTTGAA